TTCGAGAGCCGGTGGCGATGGTCCTCGAGGGACTGGGTCAAACGGTGCACCGCGAAAAATATGGCAAACAAAATAATTAGAAGCGTTCCGAAACCGATGACGGCAGAAGGAAGGGACAGAGGCAGAAGAGGCCGATGGAACCGCGTGGCGATGCAATTGAGGATACGCAGGGGACCAACGAAAGAGGTTCAACGAACCGGGACCAGGGCGGTTGTTAACGCGAGTGAATCAGTCGCGGACCCGATACCGATCCGTCGCTCGAATTACGTACCAATTTACAATCGTCGAGCATGGTAATCCGTAAAAATAAACCGGCGCTGCTCGGCTCGGCGTGGCGCGACGCGACGCGGTGCGGCGCGGCGCGGCGCGGTCGCGTGCGTATCAGGCTCGGATTCTCGGGTTCGGATGACGCGGTCGCCGAATCGTGGCCCGATCCTTCTCGTCCTCCTCTCTGGTTTCATCTGCTACATGACTCGACCGCGTGGCATGACTGTCGCTAACACGCGAGCCCCGAAGTTAACCCGCAATTTAGTCAAGAGAGCGATCGTTCAAAAGAGACGTCTCACTTGATGCCACTTAACGAATCCCTCCGCAACCCTTTCTTTCTGCCTCTCTCTCTCCCTCTCTCTCTCTCTCTCTTTATGATCGTCTCTTTGGCGCTCTCTCCATATCGGTCTCTCTTTGTCTCCGGAGGAGCGGCGACGGCCGACTCGCGCTCGTTTCCAGATGCGACGATTGCTCAGCTCAGAACACGGAATCGGCCGTGATTAAAGTTTCAGGGGCGGAATAATTCATGACGCGGTTTGAGCGCCTCAATGAATTCGGATCGTCGCTCTCCTATCCGCTCCGCGGAGTTTCCTCGAATTCAATTACACGCCGGTGGCTCGCGCGCCGCGTTCCTGGGGGCCGGCGCGCGTTCTGCGCGATGTTCAATTAACGTCCGCGTCCGTAACTCACCGCTGCGATCGTGGAATATGAAAAAAGAGGAGAGGAGAGGAGAGCGCGAGCGTGCGAACACACGAGCGAGCTTTCTTCGCGGAAACCGGCGCGGCCTGGTGGACGTGCCCCACGGAATCCACGGCATCCAAGCGTGGACATGAAAGGCATTCCAGGACGTCTTTCGGAATTCCCACGATAAATCACGGTTATGGGGTTGACGGGGTGACGCGTATGATTACACCCTGTCTCTTAGCGGCTATAAATTTCTTGCCGGCCGGCTCCACCTCCGCTCCGCGATCCTACAGGTATCCGGAGTCCCGTTTCATCGTGGAACAGTTGTGACTCGCGTCTAATGGCTCGACCACGAAACCGAATGATCCCGAAGCATCGTTCATCCGCGGAACGTCCCTTTGCACACCGAGTATCGAGACGGTCCGTAACCGGAGTCACGATCCTTCTCCATCGGTCCCTGCCTCCACTGAAATATTGTCATCAACTACGGTATCGTTAAAGATTCGTCCCTCGACGTTCGGGTCATTGGTCGGTCCGATCTCGAATCCCGCCTTAACTATCCCTCTCGTGTCGGCGGGCCCTGTCATTTGGCCAGGCCACAAATTAACCTGGCTAACCATAACCGTTGGCGACGATCCGGGCGCACCTTTCGCGCCGGGCCCCGGAATTCGAGCGCGGCCCGCGTTTTTAAATCCATTAGCCCCTGTCGGGCATTAAATCACCGCGCCAACAATGTTTTTTTCCTGCCGAATATCATGGCTCCATCGACACCGTGCGTCGCGCCGCAAAAACCTGGCTCCCAATTAATTAAGGTCCACCGGTCGCTAAACGTTCCGGTGTATCACAGGGGAACAGCTGATACGGCGACACGCCGCCGCCGCTGCCGCCGCCACCGCCGCCACCGGTGCTCTGCGTCGGCCACGAGAACCGAGGAAGCAATCTCCCGCTTTTCAAGAATATAATTTTCGCTCGGAGGATGGTCGCTATATTTCCAAGATAAGGCTGTAGAGCTCCGGCGGATCCTCCGCCGCTAGACCGGCGAGACCCTACTCTCTCGTGTGAAATTACTTCGCTCCGCGGCTTACTCTTATCCCCCGGTGCCACCCTTTCTTACCGTGTATCCTCATTCAGCCGGGATCTCCCTGGAAATAAAGTAGATACCTTTCCTATTTTCGCATCCGGAAAATTGCAATACCTCGGCTACACGGGACTGCCTGTCGGTCTTATAAATCAGTCCCGCCGCTGCAGCGTTAATCGCGTCGCAGCTCGTTCGCTTTCTCCCTCGCCCCGCCACGGTGTCTTTGACCCTTCTCCGGCGCGGAAATTTAACGCGTAACTACGTTTTGATCAATCGTCCCGTTCCCGTTCGAATTTATTAACACCGTCGAATCTCACGAAATCAAAGTAATTTAGTTAGCGAGACCTAAATTGCGAAGATAAGATGTATACACTGGCTATCGATCTTCCCGCAACAGCAGATAAATGGGACAAATGGGACAAATCTGAAGAATATCATTCGAGAAATACTTTTTGGCTATTATCACATTCTAAATTCTTCTCGGCTGTAACACTAAACGTTGCGAGCTCTCTCAACGTGAGCTCTCTATCTATACTTTTTGTTATTTTTATTACAAGGCAAGTTTAAACGAGGGTATTTATTCAATTGATTCTTCGCACTCCGAAAATTTGTCTAACATACCTAACCGGCAATTCGAAGCTGAAATTTTGCTGAACCAAATCGAATTGAAATCAAAATCATTGCGTGCGCTGCTTTAACATTTCATAATTTTGTATTTTTATTTACGTATTTTTTGCTTGATTACCTTATGCGACATGAACATACGTATAGCGCGCGCGCGCGTACACGCATTATATATTACTCGTTAAAATATTTACAACGGCATGGTAAATTTAGCGGTGATTGCGCAGATCATCCCAACGATGCGTTCAGCGAAAATTAGTTCACCGCCCGGAGCCTTAACACATTAATACGCAATTATACTCTCGGATCGAATTACAACTAGAACCAGGTGGGCCAGGGTTAGCCGAGTACGTTGGCGGCGACGCGTTCTCGCATCGCTGCACCGGCGTATCCGCGAATTAGCCTAGTCGTTGTCGATGCCTGTATCAATCACGTTTAATTGAGAAATATAATCCTGGCCAGCCCGCTCCGAATCGGTATATCCCCCGATAAGTTTTTGCACCGGTAGGCGCGGGCGCGCGCGGTTTGAGCGAGTGCCGGCTCTTAACGCAACAAGCTCCTCGCACGTTTATCTAATTATTATAATTGCACGATTATTCTTGGTCGAACGAGGTGAGTCCGCGGCGCGGCGCAGCGCGGCGCAGCGCAGCGCGCAGGGGTGAGATCGCATGCTGGCCGTCGTCCGGCCCGGCGAAAAAGAACGAAAGAACTAACGGGATATATATGGAGCAGCACGCGATAGGATCTCCCGGTCGAAGTCGTGATGCAAACGATCACGAATTCTTTGCTCCCTTTGTATCGGCCGTTTCTGCATTCTTTCGGTGCATACGTGCCCCTCAGCGCCGCCCGCCGTTCACGTAATAGCCGCTCCGCCGCGGAATTTTTCCGCGAGACCGTTCATTTTTCCATTGGTGGACCGGGCTCGGTTATTGGCCGGCGAGTGGACTCTCCTTTCCCTGCGAATTTATGTTCCCTCATTGGTCGACGTAGACTCCAAGCCAGCCGAATGGCCAGCGCTTCGATCGTTCGACCCCCGCGCGCGGGGTGAGTGTGCTGTTTGCTTTAAATTAGAAACTCTCGAGGAAAAGGAAGGGCGTCGTTCCAATTTATAACGATATTCGATTTTAAATATAATTTTCACCTGCCAGAGTCTTTCTGCGGACGTCACCTCGGGCGACCTTGAAGGTCGCACTTACAATCGTGAGCATTGAAAATTCTGAATGATAGTAATTGTCTGCACTTACATTTTAGGGTATGCGATACGAGGTTAACCCTTTACGGTCAAAAGTATATTCTTCCTTTTATTTTAGAATTTGTTGTAACGAAATCGATGCAACGTAACTGGAATTAGAAATACCGCATAAGTTATTCTTGAATAGAATGCGAATCTAGAAAATAAACAATTAATGCAAAAGTCAATGTCGAGTCTGACTCGACATAGGAGCGCAAAGGGTTAATGATAAATTTCTTTTTTATTTTTATTGTACTTGTGCAACACAGTTATACAAATTCTCTCGTTGTTTACTTCTGTCACAAATTATTATTATTATCATCATCATCATTATTATTATTATTATTATTATTATGCATCGATGCATATGCAGCCTCTTCGAATTTGATTTTATTTAGATTATTACATAATACATTGGCCCACAAAAGTGTTCGAGCACCTTTTAAAATGCAATAACTTTTTTCAAACTGAACTAAGCGACCTGAATTTCTTTTTAGATGATAGCGGGACTAGTCTACCACACAGTGACCGAAATGCTGTTTTTTAAATTTTTTACTTGGAATGACAAAAAAAAGAAATAAAAGAACTGTTGTCTTTTAACATTTTCTATCCGAGCCTATAACGAAAACTTAAAAAATGTCTCTCGTCGATCTAGGTTACTTATTAGCATGCTGAACATTTTATCGAAATCAGTTGACGTTGTTATGTGTTATAACAAATTAATGATGGCAAAAATCACGAAAGGCATTTTTTATATTTTATATAGGTTCAAATAAAAAAATTAAAAAAGAAAGCGTTTTAGTCATCGTCCAGTAGACTAGTCCCTCTATTATTGAACAAAGACGCAAGTCATTTGGTTCAGTTTTGAGAAAGTTATTGCGTTTTAAAAGGTGTACGAACACTTTTGTGAAGTAACGTGATTTAAACATGGAACCCATGTCTTTATCTTTGCGCCGAGGGAAAAGCGTTTTCCTTTGCTGATCCCGAGGTAGCCATAAGTTCGCGATGCGAATTTGACCGCGTCGACCCGCTCGCCGCGTGTCGCGCGCGATGTACATTTGCGCTGTGTATTTGATGAATACAGATGATGAATCGAATTTGTTTCTTTTGCTTCAGGTAAATGGTGTCCGCGTAGGGAATGGAGTTCTCCGCCGGACGCGCAACGAGCGGCGAGCGAGGCGCGCCGTGGTGTTCTTTACTCTTCCGTCTTCCTCGGTAGTCCCGGTAAGTCTTTACGAAACTTCTCTCTTTGCCGCTTCAGCTTCGAAACTTCCATCGCCTCTCCAAATTGAATATCTTCGGGAAATATGGCCGCGAGCTCTTTCGCCAGCGCGGAGCTCGGCTCGCGGGCTCAAACTCCCGTGAAATTTCACCACCCGTACGTTATCCTTAATTAAACGGGACGCTACGCCTGTTTAACCGTGTCCCGGGCCCCAGTTCCCGCATTAATCGCGAATAGAGATTCTCCTGCTCGTCTTTCGCGCCTCTTCGATCGCCCTTGGATTAACCGACGAGTACCACGGTTCTCGTGCGTCGACGAAGCAACCCGAGTGAATTCATTCGAATTCTGGAGGTACACCTTTTGTCTATGGTCACCTAGGGTATCGTGTTTTCTCATGTTTGTCGCATAACGTACAATAACAGTGATCTACGGAATCTGTATTATTTTTTTATATACACGAGGTTCAACGCGTGATCTTAATAGTACTTTTATTTACGCTGAATACAAATATGCAATCCGTTTTCCATCGCATGAAATTGTTGAGTAACGCGAAGTTCAATATTCGATAATTACTGTGATTCTATATTGTTAACAGCGTACAAAACATTACCTAAAAAGTGATCCCGATCGAGTGTCCGGTAGTAATCAGCCAGCACATTAACACTCCATTTGCAAACAAATGTTAAATTCCATTTGAAACATTGCTGTTTCATTTGAAACAACGAGTTTCAGTGATTCGATGCCGAATTAGATGAAAATGGGAGGAAAAGGCCGATTCCGGATTCGGATACAGCTAAGAGAAACGCACAAGAATCGGTGTAAATATTCTCTGTAACAAAAATCGTGTTTACCCGTGTAATTTGAGACAACTTGAAACGACTTGACATCCGATTGTGCGTTCTGAGACGTTCTGCGAATGTGAATAATAGAAACGGTAGATTAGATAGCTAATATGATTAGTTGGAAAATGGAGGACTCGAGAGGTGTTTGCGAAAAGGATTCTTTTCGTAACTGGTCTACAGATTCTAAATATACTAGTCACCGCTAGCTATCTTCTAGACGCAGAAATAAGTGGAAAATTACGATTATTACCTGGAAAACTTATCTTGTAATAAATTCATCAAAATCTCCTATTTCTAATTCTAATACACGCGCTAAACTCTTCAGGCTCTTATTATACAACCTGGTTATTATAAAGCACGTTATAATAAATAGTAAATACAATACGGATAAGAAAATAATTTCAGTTATTGACATCTGCTTAAATAGAATCTCGAAAATTATAATAAAATCTAAAAACCGGAAAAATGTACCGATATTCCTGAATTTCCGTTTCTGTAAGGGTGATGTACCCTCGTCGTGGAAAGTATGTTGACAGCTTTTCAAACGGAATAACTTTTTCAAGATTGGTTCAAATCACTTGAATTTCTTTTAGATGACAGAGGCACAAGTTTCCTAGACACTGACTATACTACTTTCCTTTTACTTTGCTATTCCTTGGAATGACAAACAAAATTTTTTCAACTCATGGTTTTTAACCATTTTATCCGAGTCTATAACAAAATTTTAGAAAATGCCTTTTCTAGATCCTCGTAACTTATACGCGTACTGAAAATTTCATCGAAATCGGTTGACCTAGAGTCGAGCTACAAGCGTTCAAGGACTTGAAAAAACTGTAGATTTTGCACAGTTATTGGTCGAAACAGTCAAAAATCGGGATAAAACTGCGATTCTCGCGATCTTTAATTGTTTACAGTGTATTTCACGATCAACCGACTTCTATGAAATTTTCGGTACGCGTATTCTTCACCAGGATCTACCAAACATATCTTTTTAACACTAAACCTACCGAGCACTACTTTCTGTGTTGCCCTGTAAGAACGATAAAACCGAATCTATTTAGACTTCCCATAATTTTTATTACAACGAATACTCGGACTGTGAAATTCATTTAATAATTTTCTTATGAAAAAGTCTCTACAATCTCAGCAATTTTAAAATTCAAAATGTAAAACCGGGGGGGGGGGGTCGTTTCGACCGACGTGGTAGGTTTAGCGTTAAATTTCCGTTACAAGTTCAGACAAAAAAGTTAAAAAACAAGAGTGTTTTCTTTATTGTTTTGTTCGTCATTTCAAGAAATAACAAAAACCAAGATTTGAGGATATCGGTAGGATCGGCAGCGCGGAAGAGCTGGAATCGAGACAAGAGTGGGAATAAGACTGGAAAAATCGGATTCTCGTGGACGCGTTTGTAAACGCGAGGCGCGATGTACGCGGGCCGCTGTGGGAGGAGCGCGATCGTCCGCGGCATAAACAAGTTTTAATCGTGCCTCGGGCATTCGTCGCGTTGAATAAATATTGATATCGGGTGACGCGACGGCCAATCAGAATCGGGGCTTATAAAACAAGCCGCTTACACCTCCGCCTGTCTATCGCGGCGCACACACGCGCTCCCCACCTATCCCGTCGGCGCGCGTTATTTCGCGACCGTTCGCGCCGGTGCTGTCGCGGGAAGAGGAGAAAGAGAGCAGAAGAAGGAACGGAGAAGACTCTCGCCGCCACCTGGAAAACTCTGGGAAACTCGTCTTGAAACGTGCCGACCATTTTTCGTTGCCGGTCGCGCGCGGCCGCGATGGTCAGCGGACGGCAAGGTCGGGCATTCGATAAGCATCGGGGGCTCTCGGTGTCCGAGGCCTGGTGGAAACGATCCGCGGGCCCTGTCGAGCCTCGATTTCTCCCTTAATTAAATTACGCGGCCGCCAAGGAGCTCGCCGATAAGAGGACGTAAATCACTTTCAGTCGATAACTAATCGAACGATTCCGAGACGCGTCTTGCCTGTGCCGGGTCCCTTCTCCTCGTTCTCGAAGACGGGGAGCACCGCGCATGCGCCCGTTTCCTCGTCCCTCTTGCCACCCTTCGTTCCTCTTGCACTCTCTGTGCCCTCTTCCTCGGCGCTCGAAGGAACGGAGGGAATATGAGCGAATGCCAGAGGTAGAGAGAACCTCGCCGTACCGGAGCGAGTAGAAGACCGTCGCGTCGGGGAGCGACGGGAGCCGACGACGCGAGGCAGAGGAAGAGGAAGCGAGACGGCGAGCTGCGAGGGAATCGGCGGAACGCTCGGAGGAAAAGGGACGCGCGTGCTGGCAGAACGAGAGAGACGGCCAGAGGGCGAATCGGGCTGGAAGAGAGAGAAACGAGTGCCGTCTCCATGGCAACGAGGCGAGGCGGGAATGCGACGGTAACCATGGCAGCCGCGGGTTACTCTCTCTCTCTCTCGGACCGACCTGCCTGTCCGCGTCCCTCTTTCTGCTCCCTCGTCCTCTTCGTTCGCCTCTCTCGCCTCTGGACCTCTTCCTTCCGCCCACGGACCGAGCCACGAGCTCGGATCCGCAAAGAGAAGGTGGAGCGGTCTCTCGGAGCTGCGCTCTGGAGAAACGTTCCACTTCCTTTTCGCTTTTTCTCTCTTTCCGTCCTCCCCTCTTTCCGTTCGCCTATCTCTTTCTATTTCTCCCTCTCGTTCCCTCTCCGCGCCCTGCGGCTTCACTTTTAATAATAGTAATGCGTTTTCGGCGGACTGCTTAAGACACGGGCAAACGCGCGGGGTGTCCTGCACTCGCCCTGCCAAACCGTGTCTTCTTCTCTACCGAATGTAGGAAAAATGTTGGTCGAATAAAATGTACAGAAATATGTAGATACCGCGGAATAGAATTTTCTCGTTTCGAGGCTTGTTTCTTTCGACCCACGAGTGCTGGTCGGTAGCGCAGGCTGTCCGTGTACATGACTTACCCTTTCCACTTCTTGCGTTGCTGCGAACAGAGGAGTCGGTACGCAGAATGTACGTATATCGAATGTACATCAGAAACGAACGAGCTTCTTCTCCTTTAGAAACGGAGTTTCGCGCGAAACAAGACTGGTCGGCACTAGTGACAGAATGCAGGAGTTTGTTTCTTGAGAATTTTAATCAGTTGCAAACAGTTCAACGATATTGTTAGATTACTAGTGTTTGCTATAAATGCATGAACATATAATAGTCCGATAACGACCATTGAACATTATGCAACGATTTTCTTGCCGTTTCTATACCCAACTTTTGCAAGACTCCTTTCTTGCTCCAGCTCGCGGCGTAATAACGGTTTAGCTTATCGCATCTCTGCAAATGGAACCGGACCATAAGTGGAAACATTCTTTTCTTCGGTGTTAATTTCTCGGAAAACCGTTGCAACGATAAGTGGAAAATGCTTTTTCTGAAACGACGCGACTTCGCGGAATTATTTTCGAAGAACCGCCTTCTGTATTCGTTCACGATTCGAAACTTCCCCGGACCGGTGTTTATCCAGCTGAGGATCGATCTCTCGGCCCGCGTATTTCCGTTTCCGGTCTGCCGGGGCAGTTCCTACAGTTTCCATTTGTTAGAGTGTCATGCCGGTTCCGCGGCGGTGCGTTAATGTTGTTTTTAAAAAGGTCCCGGGGCCGTATTAATTAATCGGGAATACGGAAACGGGGGATAAATTTTATCTCGGCCACGCAGCCCGACTGTTAATAATGAATCGTTAATGCTAATTTTTGATTTATGCGTTCATAATCTTTCCCCTCGCCGCGTCTCGCCGCGATCACCCGACCCCGGGACCCGCGGACGTTTTTGAATGTGGACCGATATCGGTGACTGAATTAAACGATCGGCCGGATGCGCGGGATAAATTTCGTTGCAGGACGTGCCGGTTATTAATAATCACTATTTCCTAGCAGTTCGTTAATAGGGACGATGGTACACCATTACGCTTCGCGATTTACGCGATTCCTACCGTTCGGTCGCGGGTTTAGCCGGCTCGAAGGGTATACAAAATGATTTTTCGGCGCTTCTTCGTTTCGATCATATAGATTAATAGTTTTATTCTACAAATTATTGTGCGTGCGAGCTGTTTCTTTCACAAACTTACAGCCATAACTCAATGTACAGTAATCTCTCCCTAATTCGCGCTCAAATTGCGTACAGAAATGGACA